CCTTGATGTCAGCGAGGCGGCGAAATCCAACCTTACTAACGAAATACCCCCGTGTCTCTCCATCGTATCTAGTACCCAAAAATAGGCCAATGTACAAACATGTGTGTACTGTCTCTTTTTCATTCTTTTCTACCATGAGCTTTTGTCCTCTTTAGCCCTAATTCTATTTCCCCTCCTGTTCTCGGCTCCCTCACACACCAGGAATATCAGAAAATGGAATCGCTTAATTAATGTCACAATTCAACCTTTTGCAAATTTAGTCACAATGCTGGACCTGCTGTGTGAAAAAGTGATGAAGATATCGTCATTCACCTGGGCACTGCATCGGTTGTCTCTGAGAGAAGGAGAAAGGAGGGAATAGGGAGAGCAAGCGCCTAGACTATTATATATTGAATGCTAACATTCTTTCTTTTCCTTTTGGCTTTCTGGCTCTAGGAAAGCAAACAAAGAATGGAGAAGAGGAATCTGGGGATCCTCTCTTTCTGTCTTTTTTTTTAATGTGTGTGCATATGCATAATTTCCCTTGTTATACCATCACGGTCATAGAGGTCAACTTTTTCACCCTACAGAAATACATGGCGTAGCTGCCATACCCAGCAGTTTCCCCGTGGGGCGCATAGCTGTTGCTAGAAATTACATCTGGAATAATGAACCTGCATTTCTGTCACTGTACGCTTACAATTTGCAAATGGGTATGTATGTATGTATGTGAGGCTTCTGCTTATGTAGTAAGTGGCTCTAAGATAGCTTTTCTTTTTTAAATATCCATAATTCAATGTTTGTTCATTGCTTCTATCATTCTATCAAGCCGCTACGAAATAATATACTTAAACAGCGGGAAGGTCTGAGGTAGCGATGAGAACAACCGTAGCTTCACTTTCTAAAAAAAAAAAAAAAAAAAAAAAATCGTATATTGTTGAGGAAAGATTAACAACGAAAATCTATCTTGTATATAATCCTTTCTTGTGAAATTGAAATGAAGTTTAATGCGAAGGACATTGTCCTGCAACGAACTTGAAAAAAAGAGTTAATAGCACTGAAAAAAAAAGGGGGGGTTGCACAACCAATATGCACAAGACTGAAAATCAAATCATCAGCGATCGGATACGTTTGTGGATAAGGTTGGGGGAAGTCGATTTATGAAGCCAGAGCCTCGACTGACGATAGAAGCCAGGAAAAGAGTCAAAAGATGCATTTGCGAGAAATTGCTAGCTTTGAGGGCGAACCCCTTTCCTGTTTTACGCGAGGTAAATAGATGAAGAACTCTTCTTAAAAGCAACAATAGCCATTACGAGTGTGCGGAGAAACCCATATGTGGTTGAACAACAGATGGTTGCAACTGCAGCAAGAGCTGGAGTGGCAGCGGGACACAGAAGGAGAAGCTTCAGATGCAGGTATTGACGAGCGGCTTCGGATTCCCTGCTGTGAATGACAGGCCTTTTGTTTTCTCCACAATCTATGGTCTGCCCTGTCGGCCTCATTCGTGAAGGTGGACGAGGGATATTAGACGGTGTATATGCATAGGACATAGGAGTGGGTATCAACAATCTGTATACAATTTCTGTTGTGGTGTTTGCCTCTCGCCCTATGGAGACCGATCAAAAATCGATGCATCTCCTCTGAGCTAGCTATATATATATCCAGAAATCATACGCAGGACGTAATATGCCTTTTCTTTTTTGTCCCTTTTGTTTCAAGCTTATTCTCAACTCCATTGGTAAAACGAACTCACCCCACCCTTCTCGAAAATGATTGTCGAAGACGACTGGGGTGATCAGAATGAATGGTCGGTGCCCTGAAAATTGATGCGCAGAGGGTACTGTTATTGATCGGAATGTTCGAATACGCCTTCTCCTGGAGGGTTGTTTTGGAGCGAGCCAGGGTGTGCAGAATATTCTGGCTTAGCGCGGCCCAGCAAATAATCTTACCATGCTGACTGGCTGCATGCAAGGCAGCTTTAGTTAAGTGGTTTCGGACAATTTCGCGAGTACATCGGACCCCACCCACGGTATCCTACGGGGGGTGAGCACCCTGTGCAAAATATCACCGCTGTGCTAATTCTTGTGTTTTTTCATCCCTAATCCTACAATTAAAATCTAGACAGTAGATAGTTAATTATTTTAATCATATTACATTAATTATTTTCTAAATAATTTCGAGTTGATGAATTATGAAATTTCAGAAATTATTTTAAAAATCTTTTCCTTTACGGTTAATTATAACTATCTTCTTTTTATTATAATTATTACTCTATTCTATAACTAATATTCTCTGTTTATAATTACAGATTTTATTATCATTTTCTACACTTTTGAATCTCTTCTATCAATACGGAGTACTATATATCACAGATCCTAATAGATTAGGTAGTTATGAGTTATTCTGCTCATTCTCTACTTCCCTATGACCAAATCGAGTCGTCTGGTTGTCCTGCAACCTTGGAAGAAAAGCCAATCACGCCACAGCACCACGCACACCCCACGCCGCCCCACGAACCTGCCAAGTCGCCCGTACAGCAGACTCCCACACCTGCGTCAGCCAACCAACCTCTGCTCGCCCCTCTTAGGGCTTCAACCTCCATCCACCCTCCACCCTCCACCCTCCACCCTCCACCCAGTCGTTGACCTTCGTTCTGGTTGCTTGCTTTTTTGAGCCCTCCCCAGATTTTGTCGTCCCTTCTCCTGGCCTTTCTGTTCCAAGTCCCTCTTTGGTCGGCTCACGCTCTCGGCTCCCCGCCGCAGCCACCTGCGGCTCCCCCACTCGCACTGTGATCATAGGATTTGCTCTCCTGTCTGACATTCCTCTCGAGGCTGACTCCGCCTTTTTCTTGGTCTGTACTCCGTATACTCTTCTCGATCCAATGGTGGTTTCGTAGCAACCAAAGACATCAGTCATGGAAGAA